CACCCTGTATTTTAGCATGCATTATATACCTTCCTTCACTCTAACTGGTTTTGGCAGTGACCCACAATCTAAATCTCTTTCTCCATTTGATATAAGTGAAACTATAATTATCTAGGGGTAATTTCAAATTACTACTTCATTCCACCAGCAACTGATGAAGATTAGCAGTCTTGCCTTGCATATGAGTAAGTCAGCAACATAATCACAAGAGAACTCAGCAGGCAGCATTTGATTCATGTGAACTCAATTGCTTCTGTCAAACACATTCACTTCAATAAAAAGCAGAAACTTCTGAAATGTGTTTTTGCTAACAATTCTGTACTCAAAAATTTTTTATATTCTTAAGAGAAAAAATACCATGGGTTTCACCAGAAATAATAATAAATAATAACTAGGAAAACATACTTGTATAAATGGATTTAATACATTATTAGTTTCAGAAAATAAAGAGAATTTAAAGAAATAAATTTGTATACTTAAAGCAATTTATTATAGAAAATCAGTCATGTAAGTAAGCCTTAGAAAAATAAATGCTCCATGTTTTAAGTTAATACAATAGAAACCAGACTATTCTGTTATCTCATTAAAGCTAGATTATTATGGAAAATGTAGTCAATTTCTCTTTAAGGAAGTTAAATGTGTGGGCATGAAGATAATTATCACCAAATTGCTAAATGGTCTGGGACTCCTAAAATCACTTTTGTTCTTTTTTATTGTTGTTCATGTACAGTTGTCTCCATTTCCCCCGACCCCTTCCGCCTACCCCAGCCATCTGAATCACTTCTTAGTTGACATCTGGGTTTGAGCCGTGTGTTAACGAGCTGCCCAGTAATCTCAATCCTGCAGGTTTATTCTCTGAAAGCCTTTGGGTCAACTCTACCATGTCCTGCCCATATACCAGGTACCATGAGCAAATTCTTACAGTAACTTCCAGGTCACCTCTTAGCACACTTGGAAAATATTAACATATGAAATCATTAAAGCATTTACTCAAACATCAGTTTCTGAATATAGTTATATCCTTAATTAAATCCCAATGTGTATCTTGATTATTAAAGAGGGGAAACTTACAAGATCTCACTTTTCCCTCACTGTGACCGAAGCACATTATCTCCATTCTAGAACACTGAACATTTTATCTTAGGAGCAAGAGAGTAGAGAACTATAGCAAAATATGATCTATGAAATATGCCCAAGGTCTTCTTACTTGAGCTAATTTTATCCATTTTCTAAATACATGTATCTACTACTATAAGATGTAGAAATAAATTCAAATGTTTTCATTAGTGACAACAGAAAATCATAATTTTGTGGGAAAAAGAAAAAATTTGGGAAGTTCTATGTATTACATCAGCTCTAACAGCAAGGCTTACCCCTTTATTCATGTGAGTATCTAGTTTCACATTTCTATAAATAAAAATAACTCCTTATATTTTATTTCATGTGATTTTTTTAAAGAGCAATGTATGAAATCAAGTAATCTGAAGGCAAAATATTGTCAATCAAACCAAAATATATTACTCTAATGCTTGCATTGCTCTGTATTATTGAGGACTTTAAAAACTTAGTAAGAACAAGAAAAGATAAAAAAAACAAAAATATGAGATTTCTGCAGTTCAGTGGGTTGGAGTCTCAGCTAAATTCTAACCTGAATATTCTAATAGTCAGTTTAAAAAGGGGGTGGATCTACCAATAGGCCATGAAAGCTTGGGTGTTGATTGGTTCATTTGAATAAGCACCTGGTACCTCTCAAACCCAAGCTAATACAATCCCAGGGGAACAAAGAAACATACTCTCTCACTCTCTCTCTCTGTCTCTCTCTCTCTGTCTCTCTCTCATCTCTCTGACTTGTGACCTGCTCACCACATTCGTTCACATGCTCTCTCACTGAGCATGAGGCCATGTGGATCTAGCAGCTACCAGGGCCCAGGGCAGATGGCATAAGTTCCAAAAAGACTAAGTAAGCTTTAATATGAAGCAGGAACTTTGGATACTGGCATTTGTTAGGGCCTCGCTGAAGACATGGTTGGACTTTTCCCATGGCTGGTTGGAGGGAGTTGGGACAAACCATCTTTCCACACCACAGTTTCCTGTGTGTGGGTTCTTGTAAAGCTTTCCTCAAAATCCTGTGGAAGAGCCTGATTTCCACCAACAAAACACCCACATTTGGATTTTCATAGATGTGATACATTCACATGACTCAAAAATCAAAACTATAAACCAATTCATTCATTAATTTTTTCCTTCATTAAATTTGTAAATAAACTTCTAAAAAGATATGTTTATAGATTAGAGGAAAAGAAAATAGACATGAACAATTTTAAGGGAAATATTTTGTGATGAATTAGAATTGCATGGTCACTGACTGACTAGAAAGGAGATGTTAAGAATGATCCCTAGATGTCTGGCCTATCAAAGATAGTTTCAAAACATTGAGCCCTCCACTTTAAAGTTTGGGGATAGCAGGTTAAGATTATAGACTGGGTTAGAGCAGCTATTGTGCAACTAGTGTGCTGCAAGGATTTTTAAAACATGCAAAATCTGACTAGTCAGTGGCACTGGCCTCTTTTCCTTAAAGATTGTCAAATTGAAAAAATTGACAACAATTAACACCCCAATAAGTCATCCAGTGTAAATGAATCAAAATTATATCTATTTTTGTCAGATCAAAAACAATCTATTTTGGTTGTACCACTGAATTTTAATAATTAGTTTATGTGTGTTATGTGATGAAAAAGGTTAAAAATCATTGGGTTAGAGTTATGGTGGAATTTTATAAAGCACATGCACACATACATTTACTTTCATATACATATCTTGTATAGATATAAACGCCTAGGGAATATGTATGATGCCTTAATTATCTAAAGCAAACCATTATCTCCTGCTTATTCATTCAATGTTATTTATAGAATAAACATCCAAAATTCCTCACAGTGGCCACATATTATTTGTACATTGGAAAACACCAAGAGGTGCTATTCTTATAGACTATGTTATATTTTGTACAGCACACTCTGGGACTGTGTAGTTCACAGCCTTCGTGGCCCCACATCTTTGTCCCTACTAGCACGGTGGAGTAAAAAACACATCAATGCAGAGTCCAGCTCAGAACCGTTTTCTACCATGTAGCCTCTGCTGCTCGCCCCACTGTCTCGAATTGGGTGTCTCTTCCTCAATTATTAGGAGAAGAGCATGAGAAGAGGAAAATATACATTAAATGCCGGCACTAAAACGTATTATGTCAGAACCCTACTTCCCCAGAATATTTTTGTCATAAATAAAATAGTTTAACCCAGTAACAATAAAAAAATTATCCTCCAAAAGCGCAGGTCTTTTATACCCTGTTAGTCTGAACAAAGACAAAGGGCATTGTGCGCTAAAGCGACCACATACTCTCTAAAATGACATAAACAACTAATCCACTAAAGAATTTCACTTTACCGTACTAGAGAAAGTTTTAGAAATAATAAGATATATATTATAAATATTTTGGGGAAAAGAATAAAATGTATTCAATGGATCACATTTAATTTTCTACAATTATATGTATCTTCACCTTATACCATGAAGACTGCTCAAAAAAAATTAAAGTAAGGTTAGTTATAACTTTCCTTTCATTTCAATCTTGAATAAAATATAATTCATTTTCCTAACAACCCTGAAAGCATTTCTGAAACATAATGTTGGTTTAATAAAATTCTGTTTGCATGTGTGTGCACACAGTTGTATAGATTACATGGAAAAACAACCACTCTTAATTACAGGAGACAAAATGCATATAAGCTGATTCTGCAAAAGAAAAATTAAAAATGGTACTATATGTTTCTAGAGATAATTAAGCAAAGCATTAAGATTTATAGGTAATTTCCCTAGTTTTGTTTCCCTGGATCTATAATCAATATCCATTCATGCCTGCAAAATACTTGAGCAAGTTTGAATCACATTGCATATGGAACTTAGAAGAAAAAAATCACCTGAAGGCAACAGGTGGGATTAGGGTAACTTCTCAGCATTTGGTGTTCTCCTTAGTTAATACACATTAACTCTCATTACCTGTGTAGTATGTGTCCATCGTGGTGAAAACAAGTTCAGGTTATCAAGAGGGAATGATTTTTCTTTTAAGAAAAAAATGTGTTCTTCCTCATAAGCTGCTCTTAACTTTGACACAAAGTACTATCTTGTTCCAAAACGCCATAAATAAAAATCCAGTTTTAAACGGTAGCTAACTCACCACACAGTGGGCAAAATGAGCGTATTTTCAAATGAAGAGGGAAGCATGCATGATCAAGTTTCAATTTAAAAGAAAAATTAAAACAGAAAAAATCTCCAAGTGCAAATTGTTTTGAAATGACCTTATTGTATTGGCTCTATCTCTAAGCATTTCTTTTCTTGGGCACTACTTACTATGCATTTAAAATTTATCTATAATTTTTAAGAGCAAACATGTGGTAGCAATTATATGTAAACGACATGATAAACTAAGTCCTGTCAGCTAACAAATATTTTCCTATGGAGTTCATATGACTGAACTTATTTCTGAAGAATTTTTAAAAGGGTTAAAAACGTGCCCAAACAAGTCTCAAACAAGATTTGCATTTGCATTTTATAAAGCAGCTAAAAGTACTATTTTCTCTTCATGGACCAAAATAGCAGCACAGCAACAGATAATAATCTTTCAAAGAGAGTGCATACAAAGAAATGATCCCTTCATCTGAGTTGCTCAAAAATAAAACTTCTGAAAGCCAAATGAATATGAATATTACACTGCAAGTAATATATTCTGAGTATTAAATATGTATAGCTGATAAAATGTAACATTAAATCTTTCATCGTTGCCAAAAAATTTAAATTCTGAGGAGAGAAATCAAACTTGAAAAGAAATAATCTCCATAAATTAGCCAAGTAAAAGGTCGCTTGCTAACGATCCTTGGATGCCATACATATACATGATCCAACCGAAGCAGACAGCACCTGCAAGTACACAGGCATGCCCTTACCTTGACAGGTGCCATTTTTCTCTTCATATCCTGCTTTGCACATGCATTTCCCGATGGGCACCAGCCACTCCCCTTCTGCGCTGCAATGCATTTTTGGTGGTTCATCTGTCACAGAATGGTTGACACAGGAACCTGACACTTCTAGCAACTGTGAAGAATCTGCTCCGGTGATTGTGTCAGGGAAGACAGCCAAGTGTCGTACCACAGAAGGACACTTTTTATAGTACACACGCACAGAAACCAGAGCAATGCAAGCACCTAGATCTTGAAAGGCAAGATAAAATCCCGTTTTGCTTAGAGGTCCTACATCTCTAACCTCCGTATTCAGTTTCATGACACGGTCACCAAGATCAAGTTCTGTAAAGCTTTCATCGGCAGCAATGGTATCAATTTTGATGTATTGATTTTCCTTGATATTCCTCCCATTCTCATCATCTGACTCAAAGTAATACATGTTAAAAGTTTCCTTACAGGTCCCCAGTCCTCCAGGAAGGCTGTTGCAGTCCCGTAAAGTAAACTTAAGTTCTATGAAGATTCTGGAAGCACCTTCATTGGAGATCCAACTGGTCAGAAGCCAGTTATTCTGATTCTGTTCCATAACTTTGCATACTTGGTAAGTATGGATAGGGGCATAATTTTCATCAACTTCACCAATTTCTTCCCACTGTGTAACATAAGATAGAAAAACACATTTAAAAATAGGAAGTAACCAAAAAATAGTCAAAACTATTTCAGATGTGCAAATTTCTGCAATCTCCATATTTAGTATTGGGAGAAGGAGCTATATAGTAAGAATTTAAAATGGAGGCAACTGTATTTGAACATCAACGGCAACAAAAAGAATTTTATAAAAATATTCCCCTTTATAAATTAAGTAAATTAATAATGTATTATTCATTGTCTCTAATGTAACTCAAAGGTGAACACATATGAATGATATTACCTAGAAAAAAATACATGTATTTCAGAGTAAAAACAAAGCAAAGCTGAATGTGTAGGAAGTGAACAACGAGAAACATTCGAAAGAAGAGATGTCTGAAAGAAAGTACATAGACTGGGATAGATAAATTTTTATATTAAAAAGGAACAATATCTTTTAGAACATCACAATGAGAAAGTAGCAGTAAATGTGAAAAAGAAGAAAAAAGGACGTGAATTCACACATTTAATTCTGGCCTGTTACAAATAACACATGAGTGTAATAAAACTTAAAAGAAAATTCATTAGTTTAAAATTAATAATGTAGTTTTATTTCATGAAACCAGTCTGTGTTGGACTCTTTTACAAATTGGATAACTAAATGTTTATTCACAAATATATTCACAAATATAAATCTAGATGCATATAAAATAGAGGTAAAATTATAAATCAGTAATACAGACAGCCTTGTCATTTCAAGTACAGACATGCTATTATATCCTGGAAATCCATTAATTCTTTCTTACCAATGCATTATTTTATGCATAATAACCTTAAGAATTCTAAACATATACAGAATGTAGAAAATTAAGTATAATTTTATACAGCTTCAAAAAATAGTATTTGGTGAAAGAGGAGGTCTGAGCCAATCACTATCTTAATAAAATATTCCATTTTTGAGAAGCTCATTGTACCATAACTACTGTTGGAAAATATAGAACCAAATTTTTTCTTTATATTATTATTATTTAAGAAATGTCCTAGACCTGTGAAAATCTGTGTCTACAAAACTATACAATTTTAACTCTTAAAAAGCTGTCTGTGAAACACAGAGAGCAATGAAACCATAATGACTTTCAATAAATACAGAATGTGATTTCCGATATGGAAATAGATAAACCTAATGGAACCTCATTTCTTTAGATATAAAATTAAATACAGTATTATTTCTTGATTCCATTCAATTGACAAACGTGAAAAATGTGGAGTCACAAAAGACGCACGTAAACTGTCTACCTCACATGTCCCCTCTGAAAATCCTCGCCGCTGCCAAACCGACACAAGTGAAAAGTGCTGCTGAGGGGCAACTGCTGAGCTCCTTAAGTTCACAGAGAAGGATGTCGAGATTTCATCTCTCCTAACAACTTTCACATTAAGGTGTTATGAGAAGCCTCAGTTCTTTCACTTCATCTCACTTGTCCTCTCTCAAAATGTATTTAACAGCTTCCGATTTTCTAACTGAGCCTTCTATTTCAGCGTTCTGTCATTAAACTATTGACATTTTTTTTTCCTAAAGTGATCCAGGTCTCAGTCTCTGAATGGTCACTCAATGTCGTGATCAATATTTTATGGAAAAAAGAGCACCTCAACTAACTGAATGAGAGCAACAAAAGTAATCAACTTACTGTAACAAGATTAATTAAATACATATTCTGTGAATCAGTAAAATGAAAAATAACATCAAAAAGCTCTTCTTTGAAAAAATCAAAATGCTACATTATGTCTGCTTTAGATTTTATTTTTTAATGTATTTCTATATAAAACACAAATGGATGTTAAATCCTTGACCTTAAATCATGTATAGAAGTCCTATTTCTGCACCATATATTCCAATAGAACCCTGCTAGCAAGTAAAAGGTATTAAAAGAGCAGCATCTTACAAGATTATAAGGCAAGCAATTCACTGTTTGTCTGTACAAAGTCCAGGTACCATAAAGATTATTAAAAATGCAAGCCAAGCAGCACTTGACAAGACAGCTTAATAGCTACTGCTTCAGGTGATAATTTCAAAGAGTGCATGAGCATCTTGCTTCTCCAAATATTCTCAATTAAGAAAAGGAAAACTATAATTTTCTTTGATGTTAGAATTTATTATGGTGGAATTGTATTTATGTTTTTACAAATGTCCAAAATATAAGTGAAGATTCAAATTTTCTGTATCTAATATATGAATAGAAAGAGTTTAATTTAAATAATTATGACCATAAGCTATTCAGGGAATCAAATAGATAATATATATGCATTTCCCATAAATATCTATTCCTATTTAGTTATTATAAATACACTAAGAAATGGATGAACATATTTCATTTATTTAGCTTGGTTGAATTAAAACTTTGGGTTCTTCCAAGATTTCTTCCCTTTTAATACAAATAGGACACCCCATTATTCTCAGCAAAAATCTCACTTATGAAGAAGAAACAAGAGGATGGAGAGAAGCATCAGTCAAGAAGAACTTAAGAACCTGACAGGTAAATTCCTAGACACTTTTGCAAATGTCATATCAAGAAGATTACTGTAACATAATGAAAGTCACAGATAGAAAAACAATATTTTCAGCCCAGTTTTGTTGGATTACCTATAATCTATGGTATAATAAAAGTATTTGCTGCTCCTTTGATTACTATAGTGAGTTGCTTGGGAATTATGGAGGCGTGGTACCTAGGTACAATATGGACAGAGCAGCTCTGTTCTTCCCATCTAGCTCCTCTTCAAGGCCCAGCCTCCAAACCCTGGCTTCTCTGTGTTTCTTTCCTCCTCACTCCTATTTCTTTGTCTTAACATTAAACACTAGTTACACAGACAGCTTGGTCTGGCTTGATTTCTTTCCCAGATGCCTGGGCTTGCTCCTTTTCCCAGTGGGCACTGGGAAGTCCAAGTCATTTGCATTCTAATCCCATGCCTGGCCAGACATCACAAGTCAGCCACATTCATCAAGGAAGTGGAAAAGAAAAAGGACTTATTTTCATATCCATATATGTATTATGGAGTTATCAACTTTTCCTACACAAACCATGAAGAACTATTTTCTCTCTGCCTGCCTCTCATTGCCTTATTAGGTTTCTAGCCCCAAGCTCCTAATGTTTTTTAGCCTGCTAACCTCATTCTTACTTCCAATCCTCCAGCCTATACATCACTTCTCTTGCTTTCAATACTTAAAAATGCTTATGAAGGACACACAGCCTAGACTAGAATATTCCCAAATATGCATAAGGAATCATCAAATGAAAAGAGGTGATTTTGACCTTTCTAGTTATCAAGGGTGCCTATTATCTAGTTCTGTTTTCATATTGTGTTTTTATTTACTTTGGTTTTTAAGCAGAGGTTAATATATTAAGATTAAAGTACAATGGTAAGAAACTTTGTAGTAAAGACTTGAACAGAAGTACTTGATTGGTCTTGTACAGAAAAAAGAGTATCAGTCTGCAGCCCTAGTTTTAGTCCCGTCTCATCTAACATCTAGATATATAAACTCAGACCCATCAACTGGCACACCGGCTACATGTAGTCTAGAGTGAGAACTGAAACTGTCCCAACCATCTAATATAACACAGAAGAAGGGGCCTTAAAAAACCTGATCCTACTCTTTATTTTTGAAGTGAGGAACCTGAAGATAAGAGAACAGAAAGAAACTGACCAAGCTCCCAGAGGACAGGCCTGAACATATGAGCAGCCCTTCTGCCTGTTGTCAGCACATCTCTGTGCTCCATGTGCAGATTTATGTGTGGGATTGCTTGGACTGATGGGTTGCAGCCATATGTCACAACTAAATTCAGATTTTTCAGAAATCATGTAAGCATAAATAATTCAATCTTCCCTCCTTTCTTTTCCTTTCCTTTCCTTTCCTTTCCTTCTATTTCCTTCCTTCCTTTCACCTATCCATCCTTCTTTCCCCCCACCCCCCTCTTTCCTGTATTTCTGTCTCTATATATCTTATACTCTGAAACACAGGTATGAAGGTAAAGACATGATTTTCTTTTTCTCTACTGTTTCTCAGCATCTCACACCACATGGCACAAAGTATGGCACTTGGCATATATTTTATAATGAATAAATCAATATCAGACATATATACAACCCTCCTCTTACAGAGATACACTAATTTCACATTTAGAATAATTCATAAATTTTCTTATATGGATAATTTTTATAATCTTTACAAAATTTAGTTTGGCATTTTAGCCTGTAGAACTCATTTTCATTAGCATTATTTTACCAATTACAGTTTACAGTTTAGTTTAGCTATGCAATATTTTGAGCATGGTATGTTTTAAAATACTGTTTTTATTTTTCATTCACTAGTCTCCTTCATTATTTATGTACATATTAGAAATCTAGAATATAGCCCTGACTGATGTGGCTCAGTGGACTGAGTGCTGGCCTGTGAACCAAAGGGTCACTGATTCAATTCCCAGAGTAAAGCACATGCCTGGGTTGTGGGCTGGGTCCCCAGTGCGGGGCATGCAAGAGGGAACCACACATTGATATTTCTCTCCCTCTTTTTCTCCCTCCTTTTCCCTCTCTCTAAAAACAAATAAATAAGATCTTTTAAGAAACAAAAGCCCAGAATATAGAATATCACTTAGTGGCCTTATATTTCTTACTTCAATCAAACAATACTAGGGCTCTCTTAGAGATATTTTTTGCTCACAGATGTTGAAATATGACTAGGAATCAATTGCCTCCAGCTTTACTCTGACCTGCCCAAAGCATAACTTTAATATCATAATATTTCATATAATTCCTTTTTAAAGGCTCCAAAAGGAAGTGAAAATTAGGCTTTCGTTGTATTCAAAATATCACTAGTTGATATCCTGTGGTTTTCTCTGTATGTGCTTGTGTGTGTGTATAGTATGGTTCCTAAATTACTATACCCTAATCTCAAATTATTAACTAATTTTTTCAAAAAAATAGTTCCTCTCCATGACGTTAGAAAGCACCTGGAAAATAATTTGACTATGTGCT